TTTTGGTTCCCATTGCCCAAGAATCCTAGGTTCTTTTTTCAGATTTATGTGGGGATCCGGGAAAGTTTATCTTCTTGGGTACCACTTACCGAGGTAAGTGATACCCATCTCCTAGGTGGGTAAATAACTTTCCCACCTACAAGGAAGTTGCCAACACTTGAATGGGACAAAAATGTCCCTTTTAATAATAGATTTGTATGGTTAAAATGGTTATTGCATTATTTACATGAAAAATAAAAGAACATGGGTAAATTTGTCCCTTTTAATAATAGATTTTTATGGTTAAAATGGTCATTGCATTATTTACATGAAAAATAAAAGAACATGGGTAAATGCACTTACCCATGTAAGTGTTTCCCAAGAAAAACTTACCCAAATAACTGCATTTACCCAGGTAAGTAACATACCGAAAAACAAACAGGGCCTTGCAAAAACGACTTCAATTTCATTTGCAGAAAAGTTGTTTCATGGTGGATGTTTGCAAATGACCTTGTTTGGACAAGTGATGTTTGCAACATTGAATTAGAGGCAATTTAATTTATACTTTATATAACAACTAAAATCACATACAAAGCAAACTAAATAGGTATTTGCTTTATGATCCTCGACCACTTAATTTGATCCCTCCTTTTAATGCACTCACTGTCTCTGTTGTTTTCTTCAACCGTATAATTAGTGTTGGTGAATTAAAACCTTGTTTTACTTTTTTTTTCAAATAAATTGCTTTCTAGTATAGTAGAAGGGTTCACCTATATCTAAATTATGGTTTCTTGTGAGTAGAAATAACATAATATACCAGTTATTAACTAGGTCATATGAGTATGAGTATGTGGTTTTGTAAAAGATTTAGCGTTGTTACAAGGTGATGGTGCGTGATCTAGATACTCCTAGCTAGAAGATGATCTGAACTCTATTTGCGCGGTGAACTGGACCAAGCTGCAAAATAATAGATCAGAGAACCCGGGGTGACTAACTCGACGAGGTCGCTCCGATGCTTAAGTCAATTTTATACTGTGGATGCGAGCTCAATACTTGAATGCTTGAGTGCTAGTAAGTAAATAATCGTGTGTACCTTTACCTTGGAGTTTGATGTCCTTATATAGTGGAGTAGTCGTGGATCTTACGAAAAAGCTTCAGGATCTTCGGGCTGTGTGGATAATATTTGTTCCGTTTTTGAATGAGAGCAATGTGTCAGTTGATAAGGTTTTTATCGTTTTCCTCTGATTCACGCGGAGTTAGGATGTGTCTCATCGTGATCCCGAGAAATTTGAGGTCCGTTGGGGAGGCCTTTGGAGTTGATTATGTGGCATTTCGGCTCTTTAGCTCCGAACTGGTACTTCGGTTCCTTAGTCCTGAGCTGGATTGGGTGTCGATGTGCCTCTACGCCAAGGTGGTTATTGGGCCGAGGTGACTGAACACCCGAGCTCCGATTGTTGCGGACTAGGTTCCTTTGGCTGAGTTGTCACCCCTCGAGCAGACCGCGTCCACGTGACCCCTTCTTACTAGGTCGTGCCAAATCACCCTTCATCACAAGGGGTCAGTGATTTTTCAAGAAGTGCCACTTGCAAGAAAATTGCAAACTAGAAATACAGTTTAAAAGCAAAAAATCAATAATAAATTTAAGACTCCGTTTATATGAGCTTTTTGCTTTTGAGCTTTAGGGTGCATGGAACAAAATTAAAATAGCCAAAAAATGTTTTAAATGTTTGGTAGAAACCACTTCTTTGACAATTTAAAGCCAGAAAACTTGTTATAAACCCAAAAAACACCAAAATCTAAATTTGGGGTTGCTTGGAGTTGGGGTTGTTATCACTTGTCCAAAGAAAACTATCGTGTTTGGACAAGTGATAACAAGGTCAAAGAAAACTTATTAAAAGTCTGGACTTTTAAGATGATAATTTTTATAGTATTTATCATATAGTACAATCAAGTTACTTCGGCTAGGCCAGACCGGTTTTGATAATGTAGTAACAGTTTTTGGAGCTGCCCAACTTGTTTAAAAATAGCAGTAATAATATATTTCCATGTTTTTTAATTTTTTGTGTTTTTTCTTCTTTTAAATTTTTATTATTTAATTATGATATCAATGGTTAACATGTTTAACCCAAAAATGTTGAACTATTGACCTACCACCAAATAAAAAAGCAAGTTTATCTTTTGGTCAATCTGTTTTAAATTTTGTATTTCATTTCCATTGTAAATAACAATACTTCTTCTTTACCACACTTGTTTTTTTTTTTTTTAATATAACTAGTAAGTGTGTACATGCTTTTCACGTGACAATTTTAGATGATGATAATGATAGTAATAATATATCCAAAATTTTGTATATTTTTTATTTTTTGTTTTTTATTCTTAATTGAATGCAGGTTGCAAAATCCAAATCTGATTACATAAACACTCCATGGGTAGACTATTCTTTTTGTAGTGTTTTCTCTTTTTGGTGTATCTTTTTTTCTTTTGTTCATTTATCAAAAAAATGTAATATTTAAATAACAGTTCAATTTACATTAAATAGGGACTAAATTCAAATGTTTTAGTTAGAAGAAAGTTTCACAATCTTATTCATATTTTTAATAGTTGTGCAAATATAGAATTATAAACATATTCAATTTTTTCTACAATTTCTTTTGTATTTTTTGTGTGTAAAAATAATTCTAATATATCACACTTACGTTTCATTTAATATGATAACTATATGATATTATACATGTGCTTGAGTGTTTTTTTTGCAAAATTTATGTATTTTTTAATTTTATTAATTTTTACTATTCATTTATGACATTAAAGGTTAACACATTTAACCCAAAAGTTGAACTATTTATTATTAATTTTTAGATTTCATTTTTGGTTAGTTCTAAATTATGCATTTCATTTTCATTTTCAATAAAAAATAATTCTTGTTTATCACACTTATTATTTTAATTTGATTAATAAAAATATCATAAACATGTCTAATTTTGTCTACATTTTTTTTATTTTCTGTATTTATTTCTATTTAAAAAAAATTATTACCTAACTATGACTTCATAGGTCGAAAAATTTGATTCGAATGGTTGAATTGCTTAGCCACCACTTGAATAAAAATGGTTTTATTTTTGAGTCAATTTTAAAATATATGGGATTATATTGTTAAAAAATATTGGCATGGATCTAATTAGTAGCATTTATTAATGAAAAACAACTTGAAAATATAGCATTTAATAAGAGAAAATGAGATTTAATAACTTAAGTATAAGACTTATTGAGAGGGGATTAAATGAGGTGGAAAGTAACAATTGGAGTTACATCTTCAACCCTTACAATTAGATATGGATTAAATACACAAATATAGGCATTTTAGTAGTCATTAAAGTTGTCATTAAAACTATAATAAAATGACTTTTATACCATTTCTCAAACAAAGAAATAGAAGGTAATTTTAGTCCAAAAAAGGTTTCACATTGCATCCACACTCATTATATTAGAAATGTGTCCAATTTTTTATAATTATTTTTATTATAATTATTTCTATTTTAAAATTTTATTATTTAAATATGGCATAATGAGTTCACCCATTTGACCCGGGTGTTTGAATTATATACCAACCACCTAGATGGAAGAACAATTTCATTATTTTTAGGTTGGTATTTGAAAAGCATGGGCCATGGGGTTCATATTATTAAAAGAATTAATTAGTAGAATTTATTCATGAGAAAATACCTTAATTATAGGATTTAGAGAGAGAGAGAGAGAGAGAGAGAGAGTTAATACTTCAAATATAAGACATAATGGGAGAGAATTGAATGAGGTGGTTTCAAATTACATTTTATGCATGCCCTCACTATTAGAGAGGAAGAAAATACAAATATAGGGGTATAAAATACACCTATTCATGAACCTGAGTTGAAGTCTGATCATGAAACAATGGAAAGTTGAGCCTAAAACTGAGCCCTTGGGTAGGTCTAGTATAAAAGTATTGCATATAGATTGATTAATAGAATTTATTGATGAGAAAAAATACCTTAGATATAGAATTTAATGAGAAAGAATTGAATGTGATGAAAAAGTAGTAGTTAAAATTATATTTTTAGAAACCAAATTCATAAATAGGTAGATTTTAATAAAAAAGAAAATTTCACATGTTAATTCATACTTTTAGTTATACTATATATAGATAGATATATTAGTATAATATCTTATATTTATGAGATATTATACCATATATTCTATATTAATAAATATATATTTTTCACGGGAAAATCTATGACACGAAAAAGATACGATATAGAAAGAATTTTGGCCAATCAAAATCCACCCATGAATTTTAATAAATGACACTTGATTCCTTACCACGTTTATGATTTCAATTTTTTGGTCAATTGTTTTTCAGATATCATATCTTTTCCATATCATAGTCGAACCCATTTTCTACACATTCGCCTCTGCGCTTCAACCACCTAGACACTATACCGTGGCATCTTTTTACATTTGGATAGCCGATAAGGTTAAGATATGGAGGGCAACGGTAACAATTAATCTACAGTCTACACAGACTCTACGCTAACAATTAATCTTCACATGAAGGGCAACGGTTGATATTGGGTTGGCAATTTGAACGGCCTAGATCAAAAGTTAGATATCGATAAACCATCGAATGGCCTAAACTGAGTTGATATTGGGATATCCCGTGTATCCGTGGATAGATCTATCCCAACATGAGCGCGTATCAAATGTTTATTGAATGCCAGATGGATAGTACGAGCTTTCCATTATGATGTGTGATGTTCGGATAAGATGATGTTGGAACGTGTTGGAGAAGTATTTTGCTGTGAGTATGCGAGGTCGCCATGGCAAGGGACGAGGATAGGGTTTTAAAAAGCAGTACGGGCTTTTCAGGTGTTGCATCAAACACTAGGGGTGTATTCGTAAATTCAACTAGGGAGTGGCTATTGTCATATTTTAAATTTCTACGACAAAAGCAAAGAAAAGCCTATAAAATCAGTTTTCTGGCTGGAAATCTTCATTCCGTTTTTGTTCTCTAGGCCACCTGTTCGAGTGACTTCCCAACGGAGCTTGCTTCGGAATAAGAGCTGTGAGCTCTTTTCCTAGAACAACTAATCGAGAACATTACACGGAGGAGTGAGGTATGAGGGAAGGAGAATTTAGGGGGATTACAGCGTCCCTAATCTCCATGACTGGAATGGAACTTCTTCTGATTCTATCCCTATCAATTTTAACTCTTGTTCTCGTATGGCGTCTCGTCAACAATAAGGAAAAAGAAGTAAAGCTTCCGCCAGGAAAAATGGGTTGGCCTTTCCTCGGCGAAACGATGGGTTATTTGAAGCCTCATCCAGCTACTTCCATGGGAGAATTCATGGAGCAGCACATAGCAAGGTAACCTCTAAAATCCATCAAGAAAGATAAACAGACAAACAAACAAAACCCCAAGTTTTGAGTTGATCTGATCACTCGTATTTGATGTGAGTTTATTACTGCAGGTATGGCAAGATCTACAAGTCGAATTTGTTCGGTGAGCCAACGATAGTTTCTGCAGATGCGGGGCTAAACCGATTCATATTACAGAACGAGGGTCGCTTGTTTGAATGCAGTTATCCAAGAAGCATTGGCGAAATTCTTGGGAAATGGTCGATGTTGGTTTTGGTTGCAGACATGCACAGAGGCATGAGGATGATCGCTGTTAACTTCATGAGCAATGTGAGGCTTCGGACGCATTTCTTGCCGGAAGTGGAGAGGCACTGCTTACTGGTTCTAATGTCTTGGGAGGAGAATTCTACGTTTTCAGCTCTAGATGAAATAAAGAAGGCATGCTGAAAGCCTCAGAAAACATAACCTTTCTTTTTCATTTCTGATTTTTATGTATTTCAAAGCAGAAAAGGACTAACCCATAAAGAAAAAAAAATTGCAGTTCACCTTCAATTTGATAGCGAAACAGATAATGAGCATGGATCCTGGAACGCCTGAGACCGAGCAGCTGAAGAGAGAGTACCTTACATTCATGAAAGGAGTGGTATCAGTGCCTTTGAATTTGCCTGGAACTGCATATAGGATGGCCTTACAGGTACAATGTCGACCAATTTAATTTTCTGAGTTTCTCTTTCTACTAAACTTATTTAGAGTTTATTCCAGATAGCAACCATGATTTGTACTTTAATGGATCTCTTTTATTTTTTTTTCTTTTCTGGCTTTGTCTCAATAAAACAGTCAAGGTCGAGGATTCTGAAAATTATCGAGCGAAAAATGGAAGAAAGAAACCGAAAGATGGGAGACGAATGCCAGAGAATAGAAGAAGATGATCTTCTTGGATGGGTGTTGAAGCATTCAAACCTGTCGACGGAGCAAAGTCTGGATTTAATACTAAGCTTACTTTTCGCCGGCCACGAAACTTCATCTATAGGCATTTCTCTGGCTATCTACTTCTTGCATGACTGTCCGAAAGCAATTCAACAGTTGAGGGTAAGCGATCAAATGAATCAAGCCATGTCTAGTTACTCATCACCAGCACAGAAATGTCTATTATACTATTTATTCATTTGTTTTGGGATCTCAGGAAGAGCACCTTAAAATAGCTACAGACAAGAAACAAGCAGGAGATCAGTCCCAATTGAATTGGGACGACTACAGGAAAATGGAATTCACCCAATGTGTAAGCGCAATCTCTCTCCTACATTTATGAGACCAGAGAGAGACAGTAGTTCTTCCTTCTATTTCTATATTCTAACTTGGGTTTTCTATTATATAATATAGGTTATATGTGAGACGCTTCGTCTGGGCAGCGTCGTTAGATTCGTACACAGAAAGGCTATCAAAGACGTCCAGTACAAAGGTGGGTCAAAGAAATTAAATGGTTTATTTTCGCCGGTAATTAAATCGCCGGAATCTGACCCACCTTCGATTCTTTTTTCTATATTAATCGTGTGTTCTCGTTGAAGGTTTTGTGATCCCAAGTGGGTGGAAAGTTCTTCCGGTGTTCACAGCGGTCCACTTGGATCCTTCGATCTACGACAACCCTCAATGCTTCAATCCCTGGAGATGGCAGGTGAGCCCCAACACCCAACCCAATAATTTGAATACCGAGACATAACGTTCGTTCTTTATCACTTTATTTATTTATTGCACTGGCTTTCTTAAGCCGGTTCAGAGTTTGGTTGTTCCTTAACTGTCAACCCAGGCAGACAGGTTGACCTCGGAGCCGGCCTATTTGTCGGTTCTTTTTTTCCTCTTTTCTGGGGGTTTGGACCGGATTTAAGAAAACCGATCAAAGCGGGCACCTAGCAGGTTTTGTGTCAAATCACAGGTTAATCCGTTGACTTGAATACCTGGGTTGACCCGACAGTTAAACCGGTGCAATTGGAAGAAATTTGGCTGTTTGTAAAAAAACAGCTTGGGTTGTTGTGGGGATGGGGTTGTAATTCCTTGTTTATTTTGAATTAAAAAAGAAGATTGGTTGTAATTACTCTCTTACCCCACACCTCTACTAACGTGTCATGTGCATGACATCCCAATTTTTAATGGACAAGACAAATCCCAATGAAAGACAGAAGTTACTCGGCCCTGTTTATTTTTATTTAATTATTTAAACTTTAAAGTGCTGTCAGAACGGATTTGCCAGTAGAACCAGAAATTTTAAGGCCTCGTTCAGTTACGTGAAACCATAGAAACCGGGACCGGTCACTGATCCGCTGGTTCGATTGTCCAAAGGAAGAGTTTTGTGAACATGTGGCCCACTAATTAATGGATCTTGACCGTCCAATGGGTGGACTATATTTTTGGTAATAAGTGTATCCAAAAATCAAACGGATGTATGCACGGTACGGGATGAACTTTCAGCCGTTCGAGATAGTGGTCCACCATGACTGGACAAGATCTGGTCAGTACATGCCATACGAACGTAGGACCCATGTGAAGTGATGGGCTGATGGCCAGACCCACCGTTATCTATTTTATGAACGGTAGTAACTTTCATACAACACAGCTTTCTTCCTTTTCTGCCCTTTTTCCTCTTGGTGGGGTGTGCTGTGGGGTAACGGAGATTATTAGAGCTCACGTGAGGCTGTCACTTGCACGTGCATGAGTGCAACAAACCAATTTTCCCGAGAAAATGAGAGAAAGCTCTGACGAAGAAAAGTTCAAAAAAGAAACGACGAGCCTATGTGTACGGTGACCACGTGGGACCCACCACCCACAGTGGAAATCACTATCAGTTTCAATTTCTCTTAGACAGTCGGACCAGTTAGAAGAGAACCGGGTCAAGCTAGGTCGTGTTTATGATTATAGTCTACCACTCAACCTCATTGACGTTCTCTTTTCCTTCATCCAATTTTCTTATGCAGAACACCAGCATGGCAGCAAGCAACAATTTCATGCCGTTTGGAGGTGGACCACGATTGTGCGCCGGAGCAGAATTGGCCAAATTAGAGATGGCTGTGTTCATACATCACCTAGTTCTGAATTACGAATGGGAGTTAGCGCTAGCCGAGCCCGACCAGGCACTCGCCTTCCCATTCGTGGACTTCCCAAAAGGCCTACCCATCAAGGTTCACAAAATCCACCACAACCTCGGTCCAATTTGACGAGAACAGGGCTCTTGTGTTGGACTTAGGCTGTTAGGCATCATCAAAGACAAACGTGGTCGGAAAGAAGAAGAGAATATCCCCTTCATTAATTGATGAAAAGATTGAAAGCCCAAGCCCAAGGGAACTCTCCCAACGGCTAATGAAATTAGTCTGTTGACTTTTTTTTTTCCTTTTTCTTTCTCTTTAATACCTCATACAGACAATGGGGCCAAGTCAAGCACACATTACAAATACATCAGGACCACTTCTCTCCTTATTTTCGTATCTTTCAAGCCTCTCAATAATGGGCTTGGGCCTATTATCCGTTCCGTGTGACAGGAAGCTGTGTTTTGTTTGTTTTGATGTAATTTTCTGTTCTGTCTATAAAAAAAATGTAATTTTCGACTCGCAAGAACTTAATATCTATGAAGGAAAAAAGGTCACTTCCTGGATTCCGCTAGTCGGCTAGTGATAAGTGAATGACAAAACAAACAATAAGGAAGGTGGATCTTGTTTTGTCTTTTGGGCCCGTTTGTTGGTCTTGTATGCTGTCGGCCTGCTATCTTTAATAATTTTAATGGGCCCATTTGTAGGGTACCGAAAAAATGTATAGATACGCATTATTATCAATTCAAGCTTTCCAAATAGTTGTGCGCAGAATGGAGTACTTTAGAACCAGTCCGGAGTCGGACAGAATTATTGCAATGGACAGTTAAAGAAGGGATATGTGATAAGGAATCTATAAAACATTAAAGCCATGTTTGGTTTGAAGGAAAAAAGTTTCTCTACCTTTTCCTTTAAACCAAACATAGCCTAAAAGTTAAGACCCCTTGAGCATTCAAATCAACTCAATTCTTTAGGCTGCGTTTGGAAATGATGCAAATATGTAGTGTAAAACAGTTCATATAAATTATAAAGTTGGGTTAGTTTTGCACTTATAAATTTATCTTCTTATCAAACAGACTTTTAGCTGTAATGGATGCAAACACGAATTCCAATAAAACATATGCTTTTTTTTATCAAAAGCTCACTTGAATGTAAATTTACTTCTTTTTTATTGATATACTTTTACATCTAATTGTGAATGTAAATATGCATTGGTCTGTCATTTATCAATGTATAAATGTAATGTTGCCAAACACAAGCAAAAGTGAACTAGAGTACAAATTTACCCTGAACCGGAATTTACACTCCATTTGCATCGTTTTCAAACGCAGCCTTAACCTCTATTTGCTTACAATGCAATTTTGTTTGCATTAGTACAAATATTTGGAAGTACAAATTCTTATTCATTTCAGGGTTTTACTTTGATTCCTTTCAAAGTTTCAGTTACCCCATCTGCACTGCACTGCATGCAAATAAAGTTCAAGTTTTTAGTTGTGATTGCCATGGTCTATCGAAGGGGGTGATTTTGGCAATCATTATTATGTATATCCCCGTTTTGGGAGTTCTTTGCTGAGTTTTAACTCTGTTGGAGGTCAGTCCTTTTTTTAATGGCATTTCTGTCATTTTGCGCCATTTGCAGAGTTCTTACAAGATTTCTTGCTCGATGCTCAGGATTTATTTTTTTATCAATAATTTAGTTTGGGTTTATGTTTTATTTTTTGACTTTTATTGCATTGCAGATTGTAAAACAAAAGTACCCAAATTTGCACTCCCATAATTTTGCGCCTGTGCAAAAACAAACCAGAGACTTAGCCGTATTTGTCTTGCCTTCACTTTCATGCAATGATTATTCTGAAATTTTAGTCCACTTATTCCCCCCCTCCTTTTGCACGTGTAAGTGGGTAAATGCCCATGCTGCTCGACCAGTATTGATTATTAATTGCATAGGATTGTGAAGGTATCTATGATTTGCTTCTTTCCTTTTCTTGCCTTGGAAAAAATTTTGTGTCAAGTAAAGGAGTGTATCTGCTAATGGTGCTATCTTCGTCTTATCCATTCGATTGATTGGTGTAAAGGGATCGTAATCAAGCAATAAAAGCCAAAACTCATGTGAGGTCACTCTCGTTGAACCCCAAGTCCTCTTAAACAGAGTAACTGACACTTGCCTCGGCGCCACCAAATTCAGTGCATTCTAGATAGGAGTGACGAGAACGCTACAGTGGCAATTGAATGACCCTCACAGAGTCACAGAGTCACAGGGATTGAGCAAAGTGAAGCCGACTTGAACTCGCTATCTTGGGATGCTCGTATCGCTTGTTTATGTTAGACCGCCCTTCTTGCCTTCTTGTTAGGTTCCATTTCGCTATCCCAACCAAACTTTGATTTAATGCATACTGTGTTTGTTCCTTTTCAACGGTAAAGGGCCGAAGGGAGGTTTTCTGGAATTAGGATTTGCTCCTTACAGTGCGCGCCTCACACTGATTTTACGGTCACATCTCATTCTGTAATGAAAATATTTCCTTATGAATAATAAATACAAATATGAGAGATACTCTCAATGTACAGTTAAGATAGGCTGTGTGGTCAGAATGAGGCGCACTGTACGAGGAGCAGATCCGAGCTCGGTTTTCTGGCCGATGTGGATGAAGAGCTGGCTTTAGTCAAACTCTGTGGTCTCGCAATGTGCACGTTGGCGGCCTTCAATCTCCACATCTGCCCATGACCCTGTACTTAAGATGGTCATTCAGTGTCATTATAAAATATTAGGCATAACATCAAATTTATGCAATATCAAGTTTTTTGCTGTATGGTCAATGGATTTTATATGCATCGAATATCTATATTAAATAAAGTAGATACTTACTTTGGATAGTCATAAAGTTAATTTCAAATGTTTTTAGATATAGCTTTTTTATTCTTAAAATAGAAAGAATCTAAATATCATATATCATATATCATATCTGGTTAATATTTATCACAAAAGAAATCCTCTGTACCACCGCCATGATTGGATTGGTGTTCCTTCACCAAGGGGTGTAAACACTGTTCAAAAATCTCAACTTGAATTTAAATTTTAAAATAAATTAAATTAAATTTATATATGACCTGATTCGATTCGATAAATATCCAAACCGATTATATATATTTAAATATAAATATTATTTTATATTGATTAAATTTGAATTTGAGCCTTGATTGATACAATACGAACTCACTCCATTGACACCCTATTCCCATGTCACTCATTTCTCTTTGTTGTTTTGCCGTCCATATGCAACATGGGTGAGATTGGGTTAGGTTGAGAATTTTGTGTTTTTGAATGGGCCTGATGTAATTAAAATTTGCACCTTTACTTGTAATAGGCTGGGCTTGGAAACTTTTAGACTTGGCATTTGGCAAAACCCTCATCAATTATGTAATTGGCTTCACCGACATATATGTGACATGGAATGGCTAAGCTTATGAGTACAATTAAGATTAGTTTTAGAGTTGGGAAGCCAGGGTGGTAGCCTCTCGTCGGTTGTGTTTGAGGCATCCCCACAGTCAAATCCTTCCATGGAACATGTCAAGAGCGAAGATGGCCTACCATTTGAAGAGGGGACCCGTACTCACAGTCTGGCCTGATTGCGTTAAATAACAAAATCTCTTCTGGACCCCGTTTTCTTGTCAGTGTCCCACCTCCATTCTCTGATCTCTGACCCATGCCAACCGAATTAAAACTCCACTGTTTTTCATTTTAAAATAATTTCTGAGAAATTGTTGAAGTTAAAACTTCATGGTGAGGATATAATAAATAGTTTTGTCAGTCAGTTAACACCATATTAATAGCCTACTACCTTTCCTTCACCTTGATCATTTGCTGCTTCCGGTTTAAGAGAAAGCAACAATGAAGATTAATTAAGATTATTAATCTGCCGTATTTTTCTTAACTCCAAAATCTTAGGCTCTGTTTGGTTTGAAGGAAAAATCTTAGGATGTGTTTGGTTTCCCTAGATAATCTGCCTACCGTTCTTAAGATTGTTACCATGGTCGTTTATTGCCGTTCTTTCTCCCTTTCTTTATTTAAGCCTTGATTATCGTTTTCTTGCTGCATTGCATTTTGTTAACCGTGGTAACAATAAAGAAAGGGAAAAAGAACGGCAATAGACGACAAGTCAATGCAATTCTTGGTATTCCTACCTGATGAGGGCAGATTTGGTCCTGTAGTGAAAGTGCGTCATGTGGCGATATTAGAATTGTTGCATGACACCCCGGCATCATGTAGACGATAATTTGGCTTAGCTAAAATGGTAGAGACCTACTCAAAACCATGTCAAATGTGCCTTACATGCCCTGAGGGTGCTTTGTCACCACCTCGCCATAGTCGACCTATTGACACCTTGTTAGGATTAAAATGACCACCTTAGAACCAAGCTTGAGACTCGACACAAAGGGGGACCCCTCGCCAAGGTCTCACCGACCAGACTAAGGTCCAGGTAGCAACCTACATGACATGGTGGTCAACCTGCCTACACCTCCGCCGACTTGACAGAGACCCAGTTGGTGACCTACCTCTGCCGACCTAACAAAAACCCTGTTGGCAACCTACCTTTACTGACTTGACGAAGATTCAAGTGGCAACCTCATCACAACCAAGCTAGGGACCTTGGCATTAGAGAAAACCTCCCTCGAGACCTTGCCGACCTAAGTGGGACCCAATTGGCAACCTACCTGGTGTAGTGACCAGTCACCTCAAAGTGAAACATCATGCCTAACTCCTATAGGATCACACCGCTTGACCATTAGGCTCGTCTCACTGCAGCGCCCGCTTTGGAGTTAATCTACGCAGATTCCATTTCCGAGTAAGAAACTGCCCCAAGCATGGTGGACGACTTCTTGAGGATCTTGGATGCACTATGGCCGCGTCCTCCCAGAAATCTCAGACACGTTACAGTCACAACTACCAGTGCCTATATAAAGGTGTCTCCTTCAATCAAAAGAGGTACGTGTGATTTAGCTTTCATAGTCCACTAGTTATTTAGTTCTCTCGCTTTTAGCTCTCTCAAAGTTCTTTGCTAAATTAAGCATCAGAGTGCCCACCCCAACTAAAGCAACCCACACACTCTAATAATTACTTTCTTGCAGCTTGACCAAGCGACCTACTCAGTCCGACGCCTGAGCTGTCTACCAACAGGGAGCACCAAATCGCAAATCATTAATTGGTGCCATCTATGGGAACACGTTACACAAACGCTAAGTTCTCACTTGTTCTCTGAGCCTTAAGTATTGGAATCCTTAGGCAACAACAACAACGCCTAGATCAAAGGAACCCCCACATGGGGCAGAATCAAAATGATCAAACCAAATAGAACCTCCCAGCCCTGACTGTGAGGTCACCCCCGCGGGTCGATCCCTCCATGCTCCCCACAAGAGTTGATGGCCAACAGATTGTGAGGCCGCCCTTACAGGTCAAGCCCTCCATGGTTCCCATGTGAATTGACGGCCAACAGACTGTGAAGTCGCCCCCGCAAGTTGGGCCCTCCATGGTTCCCGTGGGTGTTGACAGCCAATAGACTGTGGAGCTGCCCTCGCAAATCAACCTTAACAAGGTGATGGGGTGTGTGTAGCAAGGCTCAAAGTATCAAAAACGCAAGGTGTATCGGAAAGACAATTTTAAGAAATGTATCGAGATACATTTTTGATATGCATAAATACGGACAAAAATTTAAGATACACATAAATATGATAGGAAATTCAAATAAATCATAAAAAAATATATTAGTAACAAATTA